GGCCTACATAATAGTTTAATATTGCTGTACTATATACTCCAACATCACTGGCGCATGGTAACAACCAGCTGACTGCAGACCATTTCCGGTCACACATTACTCTCCATAACCCTCTAGTTCCGTCACCTCTGGATGACATACATTGGCAAACCAGCACAAACTTTCTCTGTTCCCTAAGAGATGCACTTAGTCGTTCGCTATTTCTTTAGCACACAAAACTAGTATAATTATTTAATGCCACAACATCCTACCAGGTACTCATTATTATTCCTGGGTAAAAAGAGACAAACGTAGATAAAGTGCCTTGCCCAAAGAACACAAGCGACTTCCAGCGCGAGAACCCCTGACTGAACTCAATGTTGGGATATAAGTGTAACTAATCGAAGTGGAAATATATAAATTAATAAAATGATTAATATGATGAAATGTATGATAAAACAAATGTAACAGATCCAAAAAGTATAGGTCTATATAATCAAAACAAATGATCTGACATTATTTAGCAAATGAATATGAAGATGCAAAGGCTAAATCATTATTTGCATGTGAATGTTATATTTAGCTTTTATTGATGGTTATTACATCTGTTACAAAATAATTTTGTTAAATATAGTATGAGAGTGGATGGTGGAAGTATGTTTTAAGGACCTAATTGATAGCCAAAGTCCTTGGACACACACAGCTCTGCGCATATATAAACCTAATCACATCTGAAATCAAATCACTGCCACCAAAACAGAATCCTACCACATTCTAAGGTATACGCTATCCCATCAGACATTGCAACAGGAAACAAAACTAAGATATCTCTATTAACAGAGATATCTCTGTTAATATATATATCTTAGTTTTAAATAGAGATATCTTAGTTTTAAATAGAGATATGAGATATCTCTATTTAAAACTAAGATATCTCTATTAAAACCTAAGATATCTCTATTAAAAACTAAGATATCTCTATTAAAACCTAAGATATCTGCATTAAAAACTAAGATATCTCTATTAACAATTAAAATATAAAAATAATTACACAAGTGACGTGTGGTGTACCGTTGCACGCTCTACAATCTAAGCTAAATAACAATGAGCCTGGAAATGGTTCTCAATGCAAATCTTGTTCACAAAACAGCACACTCAGAAAAAAAACAATCATCATATCTCAAATGGTCAGTACGGAGAGCCTTCTCAAACTTGAATTATAAGAATACAAAGTTCCATTAATCTGAAATAATGTGAAGACCTTAGAGGACTTGTTGGTATAAAGCGCTACATAGATTTTGATTATTATTATTATTATTACTATTATTATTGTTTTTATTATTATTAATAATATCTTTTTATATTTATATATTTATACATTTGTCTTTTCTACATGTTATAAATATATATTTAATTTATTTTTAAAAGGGACCCATTGTTGAAAGCTTTGCTTGTCATGGTTTTTCCTTTTCCACCAATTGTAAATTATCTGTTATGAAAAAAGGGAATGTGGAATAAAATGATGATTGATTGATTAAACTTTAACTTATTACCTCCACCAAGGAGGTTATATGTATTCACTCCTGTCTGTCTGTCTTTTATCACGTTTACACAAAAATAAAAGAATGGATCATCATAAAATTTAGCAAAATGGTACACAAATCATCTAAGAAAATGATGATTAACTTTTGGGAAGAAAAGGTCAAAGCACAAGGTAAAGGTCACGATTTTAAAGGTCAAGAGAAAAAAATTTATTATTTATAAACAATTAGAACACAAAAGTTGCAAAGAAAATTACAGAGATCAGAAAAAGCAAACTCGTTCATAACATTTCATGTTTGTAGATGGTTCCTAGGCCTATTGGTTTAGTTGTACTCTTTCGTTATAGGTTTAATAGTATTTAAAATTTCGTAGGTCATTCATTCGTTCATCGGATCCTTTTAACTAAATATTCTAAATCGCACCAGCAAGAGACACATTACTTCCATAAGATTATGATCTTACCATATACGTTAGAGACATCCGCAGGGTCGCTGATGAGGTAAGGTTCTGGAATATAAGGAGAAAAATATATTCAACTGATATTTTTTGTTGCATCCAACAGCAAGTAACTCGCCAATGATAGAATGAAGGATGCTTTAAAAAGATGGTGGAGTTGTTTTTTATTGGTCAGAACAACGCCCATTGTTACAGGATTTGAACCCATGACATTGACATTAGAAGACAAGCATTTTAAATATTAAGTTATACAACTCCACCACAATATATACATATAAGAGACAGTATATATATATATATAAACTAAAGTTTCTGCATGGGCAGAGTCGTGTTAAAAAAAAAGTAAAATTAAACACTATTTATATATTTGCATCAAAATTAAGCAATTATTGTACGAGTAGGCCTACTTAAGACCATAGGTGGGCATCAAACACTAATTGAATGGTAAGTAACGCGAATTTGTTAAGTGTGAAAGGAGACTTAGAGATTGTTTGATTCCATGTTTGGAAATGTACTGTACCTCTTTCACAACATATACCCAAACTAAACGTACAGGGTATATCATTGTATGCATGTGAGCGTAATTGTCCGCAATCTTCAATCCCGCCATTATTGTCAGGCTGACCCAATAACCAAGCTGCAAAAATTAAAAGCAAAAAAATTACTTAAGTTATACGAAAAGCAATATTTGTTTTCATTTCAGTTATTATTCGAGATTAAAACATCCCGCTGCCTTTTGACAGTAATTTAACTCAGGAACCTGGAAACAGACCTTTAAAGAGTGTCAATCAAACTTCATAACTGACCAATCAGAACAAAGCTGGGAATATGCACGTGTAGGGGCCTACTACAAACACACGTGTTGTCTCACAAGCGCACATGTTTTTGTGTACAGTATGTTTTGTTTTACTGTCGTTTTGTAGGACCTTAGCAACAATGTCCAAGGGATGGGGCCTAGCGGATAGGTCCATCGGGAGTATTCCCATGTTTACATCCAGATCCGCGAATAAGTTTGGAACCAGCGTTTCCAATGCGCTGAACGCCAGCAGCCCTATTCTTACGTACTGATCCCATTTTATGGTCGGTTCGGTAGGATTTCCGACCCAAAGATTAAATGTGCTTTTAGAGATTATTAACTTTTGGGAAAAAAGGTCAATGGACAAGACAAAAGTCACGATTTTTCCTTGAACTTACACTTGAGCATAAAAGAAAATAATGGAATGGCCCATAGACTGCCTGCGTATTGTTTGATATCCAGATACAGGGTGAAGGCATATATTCTAAGGCGTGACTGCACTATTTATTATCATGGTTATATCCATGCATATTAACCTACGGGCAAATAAAATAAAAGATGAAGAGATTTATTATTTCCAAAAAAAAATATTTATAAACAATTATTTCACAAAAGTTGCCAAAAAATTTGAGAGATCAGAAAAAGCAAACTCATTTATAACGCCTTGTTTGTATAGTAGATGTTCGGTAGGATTTCCGATCCAAAGATTGAATGTATAATTACTTCATTTGAAGAAAAAAGTATTGAAATTTAAACCACACCCTTCAAATTACCGCTTCTTTTTTAAAATCATGATTCATGATTTCGTTTACTGTATTCTCTTGTATAACATCCAAATCACACGCTCACCACAAATCTTGTGGCTTTCATATAGTAGGAGCATATGCTTAGTCTTTAAGCACAACATGCTCACTTGTGCCACAGACTTTTTCATCTTCAATGTATTCATTTTGTTCTTACTGTATTTTTTTTTCTACTCATCTATTTTCTGATCCATTTGCACCATTAAGTAAAAAAAAACAAAAAAACTAGAACTCACGTTGGTAGTCACTCCACCGGCTACGTTCAACTGTCCATTCAAAAAATCCCTCGATATTTCGATCATGTAAGCCGAAAAAGATATTAGTGCCCATTTGAGAATACACCAATTCATGCTCTTCTGCAGAATTAATTACGACCAACCCGGAATCAAGTTCTCTGCAAATTCTTTGTCCATTATCAAAGGTTTCCGGACCAGGGTGAAAGTAATAGCATGACCCTTCATTGCGCAACCAACCAAACGGACATGCCGCTACACAAGAAAACAAAAAAACCCCTTTAAATATAAGAAGTACAATAAATACAACAGTATTCTTTCTCACCAATTTTTACATATTGTATGGAAGTATTTTTAAATAAATTATGAAAATGATAAAACTTAAAAGATATAAAATAAAATAATATTATTAAATAAATAAAACATTCGATTGCTCGTTACACGAATAATAAAAAAAGTATAAACTTCCAATGACACACAGGTCAATTGATTTCTAAAGCCCGGCACTCATAACGCTCGATGGTCGCTGGACGGCCAACACAATTCTATAGAGAATGCAAGGCCATAACGTACGTGCAAATAACAATGTGACAATCCGTTCAAACTGCCACCAAAGACAATAGAAGAAGAGTTGCTTCGCGATATGGTGGAACGTCCAGTCGAAATGCATTGTGGGAGGATGGAGAGCAATTTTACCCTGTCTGCGTGGCGGCGCTTTGAGACCCTGAGTTGTTTTCCATCACATTGTTTTTTCTTTGAATGATAAACATTTTATTAATTAACAATTAAATGATAAAATAAACTAGATTTGAACTCGTCACTGAGGACAAGTTTGGTGATCCGCCGTACTTTGACCCTCACGAAGCACGCGCGGTTCTGATTGAAAAGTATTATATGCTAAAACATGCTCTATTTAGTTTTTAAAGAGTAATTTTGAGCGTTTTAAAGACTTACGAATGTGTACACATACGTCTTAACGTGCGTGCGCACGGAAATGATATTAATACAGTGTCACAAACCCAAAACATGTAACCGAAACGTAATTTCCAGCTTCAGTACGTGCTGTGGGCGTGGAAATGAGCGTACGGAGCGTAAATTATGGAAAGTTTTGGAATACTGAAAATGACCTGAAACATGCTTTAAATTATCTGAAAAGTGATATTAACAATTTTAAAATTTTAACGCACAAGTACAAATACCTTATATGAAGTGCCCGAGGACGGTAATGGCACATGAATTTAAACCTTGTCAAGTTTAATTTAAAACCCTGTTTTTCTTTTAGAGTATCGGTCTGATAGCGTCGAAATACAGTCTGCCGCCCTCTATTTTAAAAATGTTTAATCTTTTAAGAAAAAAAAGATAAGAAGGCTCCAAAAAAGCATTCTTTTTTACCATGATGACATCATCAAAATGAAAAATAAAGGGGCACTTCTGAAAGAGAATTGTCTCAGCTATAACATACTCACAGGTGGAAGACAATCGATTAAGAATAAGCATGATACGTTCAAATAAGTTGAATAAATGCGTCATAAATAAAATTTCAGTTTTTTAAAAATTAGATATCAATATGATGACGTCACAATGTCCGATCAGCCAAAATGATCTATAAAATCATATCCATAATTCATGTGCTTTCAGAATATGTAATAAAAATTAGGGGTTACCTTTCATCTTAAGGAGCTATAACTGTTTAAAAGTAGGCATAATTTTAAGTATACACTAGATTTGAACTCGTCACTGAGGACGAGTTAGGTGATCCGCCGTACTTTGACCCTTACAAAGCACACGCGGTGCTGATTGAAAAGTGTCATAATATGCTAAAATATGCTGTAATTAATTTTTTTTTAAAGAATAATTTTGAGCATTTTGAAAAATTTACGCATGCGTACACGTACGTCTTGACGCCCGTGAGCACATTAATAGCACAAAGAGTGATTTCTGATTTAATAATGTGTCAGGAACACAAAGTATGTAACAAACGTGATTTCCAGCTTCAGTATGTGTTGCGTGCGTGGAAATGAACGTATGGCGCGTAAATATGGAAAGTTTTGGAATGCTGAAAATGACCCGAAACGTTCTTTAAACTATCTGAATAGTGATATGGAGAATTTTCAAATTTTAAAAGACGTGCACGTCACGATGTGTGCGTGTACAGTAATGGCACACGAAATTAAACATTGTCAAGTGTTTTTAAAGCCGCCTGTTAGTTGGTAATGCCACAGGAATTTTCTCTTCATATAACCTATATATATATTAGTCTGATAGCGTCGAAATACAGTCTGCCGCCTCTCTCTGTTCTATCTCTTTACATCTTTTAAGAATGAGAGATAAAAGGGCTCCTAAAATAAATTCTTTTTGACCATACTGACGTGATGAAAATGATAAATAAAGTGACACGTCTGAAAGAGAATTGATTTAGCTATAATATACTCACATTATGATCTATAAAATCGTATCTACAACTCATGTGCTCTCAGAATATGTAATAAATATTGGGGGTCATATTTCATCCTAAGGAGCTATATTTGATTATAAATAGGCATAATTATAAGCATATGTAATTTTTGACGCACGCGTACGCGCACCTTAAGATGCGCAAACAAAAAAGTAAGATACCTAACATTCAACCTTAACCTGAAGTATAAGCCCATTTAATATTATTCAGAAATGACAAATAGTTAAGATGATATGACGTCATCAACGTTTTGAAAAAATAAATATAAATTTGTTCTTGTTTTTTAATTCAGATGGCAATATGATGACGTCACAATGTCCGATAAGCTATTATGATATATAAAATCATATCTACAGCTCATGTGCTTTCAGAATATGTAATAAAAATTGGGGGTCACCTTTCATCCTAAGGAGCTATAACTGATTAAAAAAAGACCTGATTTTGACGCACGCGAATGCTCGTGTTATTACACGCGCACAAAAATATAATGTACATAACATTTACCCATGACCTGAAGTTTATGCTCACTAAATATGATTCAGAAATCACGAATGATTAATGTGATTATAGGGTCATCAAAGGTTTGACAAAAGAAAGATGAGGGGGATAAGCAAAACCCTATATTTTGACCATGATGACGTCGTTAAAATGTAAAAAAATTGTACGTATATGAAAGAGAATTGACTTAGCTATAACATACTCAAATTTGGAAGAAAATTGACCAAGAATAAGCGAGATACGCTCAAATGCGCATATTTAAAATGTCGACATAGATAATATTGAGTTTGTTGAATTCAGATGGCAATATGATGACGTCATAATGTCCGATCAGCCATTATGACCTATAAAATCATCTGTTCTATTTTCTCTATGGTACAACTCATGTGCTTCAGAATATGTAATAAAAATTGGGGGTCACCTTTCATTCTAAGGAGCTATAATTGATTGAAAATAGGCATGTTTTTGGCCTATTTTTGCTATATGTAAAAAAAAACGTGCACATGTTGTTTTATGTTCTATGCGCGCGTACGGCATTGCTATTAACCCTAAATGACCAAAAAGATTGGAAATTTGTGAATACAGTGTCAGGGACCTAAAACATTTAAAAAACAATATTTTTAACTTCTGTACGTGACGCGCGAGTAAAAATGCGCAAGCGGTGCCGAAATTTTTATAAATGTTGAAATGCTCAAAATGGCTTAAAACGTGCTCTAATTTAGTCAAAAATTGATTTCAACCATTTTAAAATTTTGACGCACGCGTACGCGCACGTTATGAGGCGCACGCGCAAAATGAGTGTACATTACAATCAACCTTCACTCGAAGTTAATGCTCACGTAATACGATTTCGAAATGTCAATTGGTTAGGCTGATATAATCAATTGCGTAAAAAACACAAAAATACGCGTAGATGACGTCACACGTGACTGGTAACCTTGCAAAGCTTATTGTCACTATTCCAGGCCAAGCCAAATGTTTGTTGTAGTCGTTTTGTGCGTAGCTCTCGCCAAATTTGAGATATCGTGCGAACAGTTATTTATCAGAATGTAGAATAAAAAAAAAAAGATCTCTGACAATAACAAGAGGTGATCCGCACTAGATGCGGATCACCAATAATTGTTGACGCATGCGTACGCGCATGTTAATTTGCGCGAACGGAAAATTAAGGTACCTGACATTCAACCTTGACCTGAAGATTATGCTCACTTAATATGATTCAGAAATGTCGAATGGTTAAGATGATATGGGTTCATCAACATTTTGAGGAAAGAAAGATGTGGGGGTCAGAAAAAACTTTTTTTTTTACCATGATGACGTCATCAAAATGTAAAAAGAAATAAAATTTATGAAAGAGAATTGTCTCAGCTATAACATACTCAAAGTTGCAAGACGATCGATCAAGGATAAGCGAGATACGTTCAAATGCGTATTTTCAAAAATGAGGTCGGCTATAATTCACATTCTTTGAATTCAGATGCCAATATGATGACGTCAAAATGTCCGATCAGCAATTATGATCTATAAAATCAAATTTACAAGTTATGTGCTTTCAGAATATGTAATAAAAATTTGGGGTCACCATTCATCCTAAGGAGCTATAACTGATTAAAAATAGGCCTGATTTTAGTATATTTTCACTGTATATCGGCACAAATCCGCACAAAGGTACCTATATTTGATGCGCACGTACGGCATTGCTATTGGCCATAAGATGACCAAAAAGAATGGAAATTTGTGAAAACAATGTCAGGAACCCAAACTATGCGAAAAACATAATGTTTAGCTTCCGTACGTGCTGCGTGCGAAAAAAATGTGCGCGCATAAATTTCAAAAAAATTTGAAATGCTCAAAATGGCCTGAAACGCGCTCTAATTTGGTCAAAATTGATTTTGAGCTTTTTAAAAATTTGACGCAAACGTACGCGCGCGTAATGAAGTGCACACGTAAAATGAAGGTACAGTACATTCAACATTAACCCGAAGTTAATGCTCACTTAATACGATTTCGAAATGGCAATTGGTTAGGCTTGATATGACTGATAATGTAAAAACGCAAAATTGCGCGTAGATGACGTCACGCATGACTGAGTGCGTTGAAAAGCTGACCATGACTATTCCAGACCAAGCCAAATGTTCGTTGACGGCGGTTGTGCGTAACTCGTGGCATTTTTTGAGATATCGTGCGAACAAAAATACAGAGAAAGAAAGAACAAGAAAAGAAGATGAGACAGTACAATAACAAGAGAGCGGATCACCAATAATGATTAATTTTTAATTGCTAAGTGCATAGAGTTTTAGATGCGCTATATAAATATACAATAATAATAATAATATCTTATAATAAAGGCCCGCTCGCAATTTTTTTTTAACGTGGTATTTTGGTAAAATCTCGGCAAGAATTATTCATAATAACCCTTATAGAACATATTTGGCGCATGGGCTATTTTCAAGTCTGTGTCAGCCTCAATGATCAGCAGCTCTGTGCATCATAAGGGACATAGTTATGTTCGATTTTGATAGAACGACGGATCATTCACTTTTATGGTCTCGGGATTTAGCATATGTATGGATCTTGTATTTGAATCGATGATGCAAAAATAAAAGAGGTGATTGATTTGATACATTGAAGTCAGGGGTGGATCCAGAGATGTTCAAAAAGTGGGGCGTAAGGGGGCGAAAGTGGGGCCGATCGATATAACAATACCCTAGGGGGTCCAGGGGCATGCCCCAGCAAAATTTGTCTTCTAGAAGCCCGAAAATAACCTCTGAGGATGCGAATGTTGATATTAAAAAGACTAACATTTACTCAAACGAATATTTCGGCTACTCCTTTAGTCTTTGTCAACGCTTGACATAAAATAAACATATTGAAAAAGTTTCTTGGTAATATTCGAACCCGGGACCTTCCTCGTGTGTACATCAAACACTAGTGTTTGTATACCATCGAGTGCAAAATGAATTTCCTTCCACCGGATTTCGAACTTTCAATTTTCAATTATTTGTTTCTAGCCGTGCCTATAGTGTAATATATATTATATATTTATATATATTCACCCTCCCGGGGAGGGTGAAGACCCGGACCCCCAGTCCAAAAAAAACCCTGGCGGCCCTCCTACTAATAAACAGCATTATGCTTGTGTTATTGTGATAAAATGATTAATTTTTTTAAACTATATAATTAAATAAAAAATCAACAGCATTCTTTAAAAAGAACATTAACAATATAGTCCAGTAGAAAACACCCAACACTAGCAAATTAAACAATATAAAACTGTTTAAGCTTACGAATGTCCTATGGATTCGCACAACAACATCTCGTAACCGACACCACAAAGAGACACAAACTTCAATTGATATTATGTTGGGAGTTAAAGCATTGAACGATTCAAATGTTCAACTTATTTTTCTTTTGCTAACTTTGTTTACAGGTATAGTCCAAGTTATACTAAGGGTACCCTAACCCGGCAAGGCCTTATCTAGCTGCCGATCGATCACAAAGAGTGCAACGCCGCAAGCGTGTTTTCTGAGAACCCACTGAAAGTTTGTGTCTGTCCGAGAAAAAGCAAAATCCATCGACTACTAGAATGCAAGGGGCCAAGACACTTTCTAGCACCCCCCCCCCATGCTCCATAACTTGTCGTTACGCCACCGTCCAAAAAATAGATCTAATTCTTAGACCTACACTGATGAAGGCCAATCTGATGCAAGTTAAGCACTGCTATACTATACAGGTGACAGAGGCACATTTGCATACATGCTTCATTCAATGAATCTTGATGACAAATTAACAATGATATTTTCTAGACAAAACGTATTACATTACTTACCCATAGGTGGAGTTGTAGGGTCTGGCGCAAGCACTAGTATGAAAACAGAACACAAGAATACACAAAAGTAGATTATATGTACAGTACTATGATTAATTTTGTAATAAATAAATAAATAAGTAATAAGTATTCTTGGTCATTTTGAATATATTTTGAAGAGTAAATGCATCATTTAAATTAAACCACAATAAATGCACAACCAATCCACTTTTCGATATTTCGATATTTGTATAGCATGCTCATACCTATCCATTTTGCTATACAAGTGCCACAATATATGAAAAACAAAGCAGATATAAAGTTGAATGGATAAAACAGAAGACAAAGCAAATTGGAAGTGCGGACACGCTTGGACAGATTCACTTATGCATGACCGTTTTACCGTCCTACCCAAAAGCATAACATAATACTACAGTTCTAATTTTGTGACTAGGGCTTCCGTGTGGTCTTTAGCTGATTTGGTCTCATTTAGGATAAGAGATAAAAGACATGTCAATATGGTATCACAGAAAAGTTGTCTTTAATTGGAGGGGGGTCTTTAATTTGGGGTCTTAAATTAGAGGGAGACCTGTATTTATAGTCTTTGGTTCTGCATATACTCTGAACATCGGCTGAAATTGCACCCTAGAATCCATGCGACGAGAATCTGAACGTAATGCCGCACACTCACTGCTTTCAACAACCTTCGCTCTACAAATCTAACTGTTCCTGGCGAGCGCTAAATGACGCAACACACTGTCTGCTGATTGTCGGCGGCAGTTGGAACGGATCATTAAAATCAATCCTTTGCTTAATTGCGCATCATGTTATGTTATGCATAGGATCGCGTCAGCCGACGACCGTCGGGGGAAGTGAGTGCCCAGCTTAACGCTATCGCTTGCGCAAAATGACCTCTTATTGACGTCATTAAGTTCTACGCCCTCCCGCGTCGTGCCATCGAAAGCTCCCTCTATTATTAGAAAACACAAGCAAACTATCGATGATGTGCTTAAACTATAACTGTGGGGACCCGGGCCTGGGGCCCGCAAACGGCCGCATACGGTATTGTATTCGGAAAATTCGTATTAAGAAGTGCTTCATTATTTTCTGTACACCATCTCCTATTATGGTGATCCTATATTCTAGCTTATCAGTCTTGACCACCCAATTTTAATTCAATTTTTTAATGAATTTTCTGCTATTAAAAATATTTATTTTGGTGACCAAGTAGAGAGCAGGAATCTTCATGATTAACTGACTGTTTTTACATGGATTTATTTATGTACTGTATACTTCTTATTTAATTAAAGATGAAAAAGCTACTAAAACGATGTACCAATATGACATACCAGCATAGGCCTAGGCATTAGAGAAAGAACTAACATAACAAACTTGCTGCACTTCTTTCAGTATTAATCGTCTCCGACTGATTGAAGTGCAACAACATGCACACTGAAATTATAAATATTCAGAAACTTCCAGTTATCGAAGGATTACGCTTAGAAATATTAAAAGGCAAAAGGAAACATAAAGAGACCTAAACACACACAGTGGCGTATCTAGAAGTTTTGAAGTTGAGGGGCGCTAATTCGCACAATGTAGTGATTTTAGGTGATTTTTAACTACTTGACCGTGATTTTTTTTGGGGGGGGGAAAGACTGGGGGACGTGAGTAATTTGGGGGAAGTGCACCCCCCTCCCCTAGATACGCCACTGAACACACATGGGTCAAACAATAAACAAAGACCTCAAACTAATTAATAAAACGATCAATACTTTGAGCAAAAACGATTGTGAAAGGCTGAACTGGAAGAGAGTGGTGCCAAGCCTGCTGGCTTGACGAAGCCGAAAAGGCCAAAAGAAGATGTAAACATCGTATTGGGCATAGCCTGACAACGAAAAAGTTCCTTATCGACATTAAATTGTCATTCTGAAAATCAATTAAAATTCTCATGATGTTTAGTGCATCTATACCTTGGCCACATACTGTGCCTGACCACCCCGGTTCACAGTTGCAGTCGTAACGGTTTGTACCATCCACACATTCACCGTTATTCTGGCATGGATTGCTGGCACACTCATCAACATCTGAAATGAGAAATGTGGGTAAATGATGTGGGTAAAGTAGGAACATGTGATGTTATAATAATTATGTAATTCCTGATGATGACATAATTAATGTCGAAATATTGAATCTCAACACGATGGCGTATTTCAATACTTGGAGTATGTATTATACTTTCTGATGTCATAATCGTATCAAGCATAGCCCTTCAATGAAAAGTTTCCGTATATACCACAGTGATACCAGAGGTGGCGCCAGTTAAACCATTAGGAAGTACAAATAGTATGAGTGTCACTTTAAAAATTGACACGGCCACTTTATTCAAGGTTTCACTTTTATTTAAGCATCATCATGAATAATACATATAATACAAAGATACAAATATATAAAGTATCAGTTACCAGAGATCCTAATTAATATCCAATTATTTAAATGAGGCAATTATCCAATCAGAGTGAAGTTGTATCATGGTGAAAAAGTATTTGCAGAATAAACAGTTCTGAGACAAAAATTAACAAATGTAGATTAGGGCAAGTTATCAGTGTGAGAACCAGGTCTAAGTACAGGAAATAAAAAA